TGGGTGTAATTAATTTCCAATAATCTAGTTTTATTTGTGTGGGATATTGCATTGGTTCGATTGATTTGGCTAAATTGTATAGTTGGTTTTGCTAATTTAATTTACTTTTCTAATTGTTGGCATGTATATGTTTATATATATATATATATATATATATATAGATAGATATAACATAAGACATGTTTTACTCTTAATCTCCTCATTTTAATTGTGGAGAATTATTGTTGTTGTTGTTATTATTATTATTGTTATTATTATTATTATTATTATTATTATTATTATTATTATTTCTTGTGACTAAAAATTGTATCTAGTAAATTGATTTGATGACATTGAGTAAATTAAAATTTTCTTTCAATTTTGAAATTATTCCAAATTTTTTCGTCATATGTTTGTGTATACGTAATCTAAATCTTTATCGTTATGCATACATAAAGCCTCTGCAATAACTTTGGACTAAATATTGAAAATCGACTTAATAATATCGATCAATCAAATACATACAAGATAATAGGAATATAGCACCTTGATCTTCAATCATCGTGAGGATGATTGAAAATAAATGAAATGTAATTAACTAATATATGTTGTGATTTTATCATTTAAATTTGATAAAAGAATATAAAGAATAATTAAAAGACCATGGCCACGTAGGTCGAAATAAATGAAGCATTGAACTACAATTTGTTTGTAATTTTGGTATTTAAATTTGATCAATATATATAAAATTAAATAAAGGAACATGACAAAGCACGATAACCGTTGAAAATAAATAAAGCTTTCGAAATAAAACAAATACTCTCTCCGTCCCGTAGAAAGATTACCGTTTACTTTTTGCACGTAGATTTTTTAATATTAGTATTATATTGAGTAGTAATGAAAAAGACAAAAATACCCCTATTAGTTTTGTGTAATATAAAACTAATCACATTTGTGCAATAAAGTGGAAGTTGGAAGGGTATTTATTATGTAAGGTAGATAGTACAATTACTAAATTAAATAAATAATAACCTTTTTTGGGACGGACAAAAATAAAAAATTGACAACCTTTTTCAATGGGATGAGGGAGTATATTATTTTATTTTTTTAGCATTTAAATTTAATAAAAAAATATATTTAAGAAACTTAAAGAAACATATAACACAATAATGTTGAAAATAAATGAAATTCTATAACTAAAACATATATGCTTATGATTCAGCATTTAAATTTGAAATAAAAAATAAAAATAAAAAGACCTTAGTTAAAAAATAAAAATGGTAGTGTAAAAATATGATATATAAATCAAACATATATATATCTTTCTTGATGTATTGATGAACTGTTCTAAGTTTATAAAATTAGCAAATGTTACAAAATTAGTGCTTATTTTATTTAATAAAATTACTCAAATAAAAAAATATATATATTTATATGCATATATAAATAAATCCTGAATAGATATGCAATTAAATTAAGCAGATCCGAGAATAATTAGGCAATTGCAAGGCAGGGTTATTATGCAATTAAGGGTAAATTACATTTATAAAATTTGTCTTTTATAAATATAGAGCCGTCAAAATAGGTTGAGCATGTCGGGTTGGCCCGCCCCGCTCCATTTTTAAAGAAGGTTGGATTTTAATTTTTAGGCCAGTTAAAATACGAGTCTAAATGGATCAGTCCATCCGAGCTGCGGGTTGAAAACGGGTTAGCCCGCAGCGGGGCGGATTAGCCCGTGGGCCAAATGATTATAATTATAATTATATTATATCTTTAATATTTTTTTAAAAAAATCTATATATTTGGTCAGTTGGTCCAAAATTAACAATATAATAAGTTATAAATATATTAATTAAAAATATATTAAAATCAACTTACTATTTATTTTATTCCAGAACCAATGTCGAGCATATACTAATGCTTCCATAGTAGAAGGATTAAGCCTACTACGATATGGGCTAATAATTATTCCACTATTACTAAATATAAATTCGGAAGCAACTGTAGAAACCGAAATAGCCAAAATATCCTTTGTCATCTTTTCTAAATAAGGGTAGTTGACTCTATTCGTCTTCCACCAACCTAATATATCAAAATTATGTGTCCGCGGTAAAACACTTTCTTCCAAATATATATCCAACTCTAATATCGGAGAAATCCTAGAATAATCATTCATAGTTGACACATTGATTATATTTATTCAATGGATCTAGATCAAATGCATCAATAGAAACAAGATTGCTAGTTATTGCACCTCCCAAATCCAATATACCAACATCAACCACCGAACTCATATCCGTAAAAGACGTAGCTCTAGATTGGTAATCAATCAACAAATTATAACAATTTGACGAACTTGATTAACTTTAATCTAACTCTATCCCCATATATCAGATTAAAATAAAATTCAACCAACTTCAACTTGTACCTAAGATTCAATACAGAAGCAACCCCCAACATGATATGACAATCACTCCAATATTTTTCATACTTTGCAAGCATATTCTTCGTCATTTATTGAACTAACACATTTGGATTCTTCACCCATTCATCTAATTTTGAATTTATCTCACATATATGAGTAAAATAAAAATTTGATGTAGGATAAAAAGTTCCAGAAAACAACTCTGTCACCTGATAGAAAATCAACTTTCCACATATTTCAATTGCAATTTCTCAATCCTCGTTACTTGGTTCATTATTGTAATTTCTTTCTCGACATTTAACTCATGGGAACATATCTTTATAAATTATAGCAGTCTCTAACATCATAAAAGTAAAGTTCTAATGAGTTTTGCAATCCAAAAAACTAACCTCTAGAACAATTGATATGCAATTGACAAGTAGTTTCTTCAAATTTCTCAATCCTGTAAGGTGAAACAGTTCAATAAATGACACTATCACACGCATTTTCAATTGCACCAATAATTATTTTCAACCCATCTCTAACAATCAAATTCAATATATGTGTAGAATAACGCATATAAAGTTCCATCAACATATCTTTTCATGACAGTTTTCCCAAAATGTGTTGAATCATCGAATAATTGGTAGTACAATTATCAACAATAATAATTGATAATTTCCTATCAATATTTCAGTTCATCAAAGACAAAATGAGGATATTTGATAACACTTTAGCAGTATGAGGATATTACTGTAGGTTGAAAATTTCTAATCGGATGATAACTAAAGGTTTTTTTTTGGACGATTTCAAGTAATTAAATCATAAATTCGTACCAAATACAGTGCCTAAATGTTTGATAGTAAAAGAAATCAAGGAAAAATTAAAGATTTGGGGGGAAATAAAATATAAGAATTAAAAGAAATAATAACTTTGATTGAGATATTGGATCTGAGTTACAATGAATACATCAAACTTATTTATAAAATCTAAATGGTGCTTTACTAACCAAAAATATGAAAGGACACGAACCCTTTGTACATGAGTAATTGCGGGAAAATAAAATATAAGAAGTGAGAGACAAAGAGACATTGTTGTGACCAACATGATGATAAACAAGGTGACAGTCGATCTCAATGTGCTTTGTACGCTCGTGGGAAAACATCATTCGTCGAAATCTTCATGGCGCTCTGATTGTCGAAATTAACAATAATAGCAGAGGACTGAAGCACACCGAGATTAGCTAGCAGTCTTGGAGATAGTGAGACCCGCTCGAGACAAAAGGTCGGGACATATTTGGCTTGAGATAGATAATATCCATCGGAGGTGTTGGAGATCTCAAGACCGAGAAAGTACCGAAGAAGCCCTAAGCTCTTCATCTCAAAGTGATGGTGTTGATGATCTTGGAGCTCAGAAATACCAGACTGATCATCTCCTGTGATGATCATGTCATCCACATAAAGTAACAGAATAGTAACTCAGCGGGCCCGCAAAAAATGAAGAGAGCAGAACCATGATAGTTGTAAGTAAAGCCAAGATGGAGTAGAGAGCTAAATTTAAAAAACCAAGCTCGGGGCGCCTATTTCAAACCATACAAAGTACGGCGAAATTTAAATACCTTAGAGGATGTAGGATAACCAGAAGGATGAGACATATAGATATTCTCAGATAGATCACCATGCAAGAATGCATTCTTGACAACGAGCTGATACAAGGGCCACTAACGTGCGGCAACGACAGCTATAAGACAATGGAAGGAGGTGAGACGAGCAACTGGGATAAAAGTCTCCTCATAGTCAATACCATAATCCTGGGTGTAGCCTTTAGATACCAAATGAGTCTTATAGCGCTCGATGGGTCCATCAGAGTAGATTTTGATCCGGAATACCCACTTATAACCAATAGGTTTCTTTCCGGGGGAAGGTCAACCATATCTCACGTATGAATTTTTTCCAAAGCCTGTAACTCCTCAGACATAGCCTGCCGCCACAACGGATCCGCATACGCCTCACGAAAGGACTTGGACTCATGGTGGGATAAGGTGACAAAGAAGTAATGATAATCAAGTGAGTAGAGAGATTATTAACCTGAGTGGAACGGCAAGGGCTAGGATCAGGGTCCGAGGTCGGAGTAGTGCCAGACTCTGATAATGGTGAGGGATCAAGTTCAGGAATAGTAGCAGGCTCGGGGTCAGCATCGGTTCAGGAGTTGCAATCGGTACAGCGTTGGGAGCAGGAGACGGAGCCGCGTCATCGAAAGGAAATAGAGATGGAAAACAACCAAAAGGTAATGAAACGAACGGGCAGTGTGTTTTCGTTATACAAAGAGAAATTGAGTTTGTGATACCATGTTAGATTAATTAGTATAAACTAAAATTTTCAAAATAATAATTAGGAAACATTGTCGTATATATACATGAAGTTATGGGCTGAGCTATATACATAAATATATATATACAATATATATAAACAAATAACAACAACAATAATAATAATAATAATAATAATAATAATATTTTTCAGATGAGTAGCTATTGGATATGTGTTTGGTATTGAAAATAATTCATGGATATGACATTTTTGGAGTAAAATTGAGAAATTGCAGTAAAAATAAATAGAATTAAATAGAACAAACACATTATAGTATGTTTCTTGGAAGGTGTGAAGATTTTGGTAGAATAACGAAATATAAAAATTTGTTAAATGACCTAGCTATATATGTTTGTGTAACCACTAAAATTCGATTCACCTAGAAGTAAAAGGACAAGTAATTAATAAAAATGTAATGAGAAGTAGAGGTAAGCCGGTGCATATTGGTCTGAATATATATCAATCCATCACATCAGATGCCATTGTTTGCATGTATGAAACTAAATATTTGCTGAACTGAGTTTGCTATGTCTTCTGCTGTGAACCTTGCCTCTCCACCAACCTGCAAGTAGACAATCAATTTTTTTTATACACACATTTCAGACAGAATTCTTCAATCCTACTCTAAATAACTAACTCATAACTCAATAATCTTCTTCTTCTTCTTTTCAAATATTATATATATTATTCCATTTCAATATTCTCTTTAGATGTTTTTATTAATTAATTAATATGGGATCCATTTTGAGATTATTTCTTGGGCAGAGGATGGGATGGGATGGAATGGGATAGGATATTTACCTTGACATTGAAAGAGTAGAGAACAGTTTGGTCAATGGTAGTAATGTTAGTGTGAAGAATGGTGAGGTGCAAGTCTTGTTGGAGTGCAGCAATGGCTTTGATAAGCTGTCCAGGCCTTCTTCTGGACAGAATCTTGATTAGGGCATCAAACCCTAATAGTTTCACTTCAACATCTGCCAGGCATGACTTCCTCTCCGCAGTCTCCTCCTCACAGTCATCGCACTCGTAGTACTGATGATCGGCAGCAGCAGGAGGAGGAGGAGGAAACATCAATGGCGGATGTGGCTGTGGCTGTGGCTGTTGGGACGAAGAAGCCATTGATGGGTCTCCCCTCTGGGTTTGGCTCTGACTGTCTACGCCGCCGTATAGCCTTCGCCTTTTCTGTGACTCAAGGCATTGGAGAAGTTGCTCCAACTCCCTCACGAACTCGATGGCGCCCCCGATTATGGATGCTTGATCGCCCTACAATGAAATTACAATTACAAATCATGAATCAATTAATTATTAGTATGATGGTTGATTGAATGAATGAATTAACAGGCAATAGGATTAATTAGTACCCTCTGGACATAGGAAGTGGGCATGAGAGATCTCAAGACTCGAAGGTGTTCATTCATCTGCTTCCTTCGGTTCCTCTCAACAGCAATATGAGTCATTCTTTGGCTCTCCACTTCTTCGCTGGTCTTCACAGTTCTCGCCCTCTTCCTCTTGCTGCTGCTGCTGCTGCAGTTCTTACCTACTGCACCACCTTCTTCACTTTTCTCTCCCGCAAATGATCTCCTCCTCATCTTATTATCCTCACCATCCCCATCTTGACTGTCCCCCAACTTGCAGTACTGTTGGGACACATGCTGCTCTTGTTGCAGCTGCTTTTGATGATCGTTTAGCACCGGGAATTTGAGGAAGTAAACGGGGTCGATTCCGGTGTCTTCCTGATCACAGCTGCTTTTGGTTTGATTAAGGGATAGTTTGGGGCCAAAATCTGCAAACTGCATCACATCTGCGAAGCTCAACTTGTCGAACGAATTGGAGCCGCAGAAGGCCGGCAAGAGTGGCGGTGCCTGAGCTGATGCCGGTGCCGGTACCGGAGTGTTGTTGAGCATGTAGTCTACCATTTGGTTGCTGGAGCTTTGATCAGCAGATGCTGATGCCATATTTTGCTGTTGGTTTTGAACTTCAAGGGAGCTGTAGTCAAGCCCTGGAAAATTCCCCTGGAAGAAGAAGAAGAAGAAGAAGAAGACATTAATTCAGATTCAATGGTGGTACTATGAATATTTATTTTAAGAATAAACATGGACATCAATGAATTCAGAACAAGCAGATACATATGCGTATATATATATATACTTATATATATGTGTGATTGAGTAGTGAGACAAAGAATTAATGTGTATAGTGAGTGCATACCGAATAGGTTCCTTCTTTCTCCATTACTGATTATATATTATAAATATTGCCACCAAACCAAACCCTAAGATGGCTCAAGAATGCTTAGAAACTTTTGACATGCAGCTATGGAGGAGGGTCCACTGCAACCTGATCATATCACACCAAAATTCAGAAATAAATAAACAAAAGTATATATATATATATGGATTGAAATTGAAGTTGATCTTGATCTTATATGAACGTACATGTGCAATGATTGGTTTGACATATGATAAGATGACAAAACCAATAAATTATGCAAGTACCCAAATACGACCACTGAATCGCACAACGTTACCCCACCTTCGGAATACAAAGCCGCAAATCCCAAGTAAAAATTATTTATGGGCATAAAATTTGGAGGTATATAGAAGCAGAAGAGACGTATACATACAGATCATTTATATGGGAATGGTGAATGGCTGTCTGGCTGGCTATATATGGAAGATATATATATATATATATATATAGAGAGAGAGAGAGAGAGAGAGAGAGAGGAGCCTTGGGATTAAATCCCAAGTCACAGATAGATAATGAAAAGAGAGGTAAAAAGGGATATGGATTTTGCATGCATTAATGGAAGTCACAGGAGGAGACCACTACCATCTGCTTTTCCATGACTCCTGTAATGGCTTAGCTGATGGTTCAACGCTCTCTACCTCTATCTCTACCTCTACCTCTACCTCTACCTCTACATCACTAATTAATTTAACCTCTCATATGTATGTATTTAGATATGCTTCTTTTGAACTTTGAATCTTCAAAATCACATGCACCAATCACCCTTTTGACTAATCAACTTGGTATTCAAGACCAATGTCTACCAAGACTCCATTCACTATAAAACTAAACCAATTAATTTTATTTTATTTTTTAAAAATAAATAAATGAATAAAGAGGCCTTCCCCTTCCTCTGCCAAATCCCATGGTATTATAAAGCAAATATATTAAGGAAATAAAGAAATACTGTTATTCAAGTATCATATTTAAATACGATAGATGCACTCATAAATCTAACAAATTAGACAAGACAAAGGTCATACATAAATTTACCTTGCCACTCCTACTAACAATATGTGAATAAAGTTCAACATATTTTGCACCACCTTCAAAGAAAAAAATTTAGACTTATTTTATCCAAAAATTCTCAAAATGAATTATTAAACTGTGTTGATATTTGATATTTGTCTTGAAGAATTGGCTATTTCTTAAGCCATTCAAGAATATTTAGCTAAGATAATGATCAATCACATATATTATATAGTGGTTGATATTGCGTAATAAAAATCTTCCAACAATCATTTATGAAAACCAAATATCAAATAAGGTAGAACAAATTATGTTTTATTAAAGAATATATATTCACAATCTTTTTATATATATATATATATATTTAAAAAATAAGATTAAAAGAAAACACATTGCTTGTATAACACATCAAATAAAAAATACTATACAACAACATACATTTATTATTTGTATGCATTTATATAAATAGTTTTAAAACAATCTTGTTACAAACCAAAAATCGGCTTTAGATTTAAGCCAAATTAAGTGCAAAAGATCGGACTAGTATCACCCGATGGAGTCAAAATTTATGAGCAAGTATTGACCAAATTAGTGGTTAACCGAATCGGTCTACGATGACTATAACAGTTCAAAGTCACTTTTAGTACGCTCTTAATCGGGAGAAAACCACTATACGACTTCCCCGCAACTCCACGACCAAAATAACAAATTTTAACCATTGACATCTACTGTCTTTAATTACCTAGTGTCTAGGACAAATTTGACATCTTCAATCATACACAAATTTTTTGCAAAATTTGTTGGAGATGATTCTTTATTTATCTGCACAATTTACTTTTTCTTTTTACTTTGTAATAGCTTAGGGGTTCCTTTCTTAGGCAATAATCTTCAAGTTTTATGTCTAAACTTTACTATTTATTGTTAAATGTTTAAGTTTAACAAATTGGAAACTATGGTGGAAGTGTAATTACTAAATTAACAATCGACCACACCTACCCAGACCATACTGCAGCCAAGGCAGTAGGAGCCAAATGGGTCGGCCCAGTCCATGCAACAATCAAGAAGGTGCCATGATCCATTAAACAAGTAAGAGAAAGATTGTTAAAGTAGTTACAGAATGATTATGGATAAAACTTTATCTAAATAAGATTTAAAAAACAACAAGATTTAGAGAAGATCAAGAAAATATTAAACACACCAAATTCATCATCTTCTTCATTTATAATATTATTTTTTCTGCAATTTTTTCTCAGTATTGTTCTTTTAAAAAATAATTAATTTTACAGTTTTTTCCATTAATTTCTAGCTTCTTTATATATTCCAAGTTCCATCTCAGCCTTTTCTTTATATTACCAGCTTTAATTTTGCCTCTTTTCACGTTAAATATTCGGATATCGTGAGATAATCCGGATCCTTTCTTGAGAAGACTGAAGAACCCTTCGAACAAATCAATTCTGACAGACTTTTCCAATTAAGCCGTCGGTGGAGATTTTTTATGACAACAAAATTAGCAAGCCTAGTGAAACACCAACGTTTCGCGGCTTTTGCATACAATTTCAGAAGAGAAAACTGACACCGCCGACAACCATGGAAATGTCGAAAAACAAAGAAATTATCGGCGGCTCGTCATCTCACCCTCCTGCACAGTGTACTCCAAGAGTAGATCCATGGGGAAATTCAATCCTCCCTGAACGAATTTTCCATGGAACTTTCCAGGTACATTACCGACGTCCTAAAGCGTACTATCCGGACTGAATTTGTGCTGCTTCTGGAGGAATAAATTAAAAAATGTAACACCTCGATGGCCAGCTCCAACCCATCGGATGTCTGGCCTCCCGTCAGCCTTGCAGCCAGCTCCGCAGCGAATCTGACCTAATAGATGCTCAAATATGGTCATGTTACTATCTTTGATATCGGTACCGGATCTGGAGAACCTCCGTTTAACGCCCAGAAGCTTGGAGAATCTAGCGCGCCGGCTGGGCAGGTGACAATACGATTTTGATATATATTCAAATACATTTTTAGTCAGAAATTTAGATGTAAGGAATTATTGTGAGTGATCAGATATAGCAAAAGTTTGTGGTTGTAGACCCTGAATCGTTTATCATAATTATTTATACTCTTTAACTGGTGAGTTTCTAGGTCGAACATAGGGATTTTAAGTCGCAAATTTAAATCAAGTATTGATCTCATGAAAGCGGCGGAAAAGCATTAAGGAAGCTCGCTCAAGGCGAGCCTGGATCTAAAGCTGGAAAACTAAGGAAAGCGGTAACGGTGAGCGACGGTGAGCGGAGCGGTGGCGAGTGAGACTAGTGCTAGTGATGGTTGAGCGAGGGAGACATAAACAAAGCGGCACAGTATATCTATATATTTTGAGCGGTAGAGGGTGATGAAGAGGTGTTGTGTTTGAACTGTGCGTTACTTAATTGCTAGATTTTCCTAGATGAAATGAGCGAGTGATGCAGGTGTTTAAGCGAAACATATATGTATAATACGAAAGCGGTGGGAGAGAGTAATGTAAGTATATAAACCATATTATAAAGAACTTTGATCGCTGGTACTTGCCCTTAAGAGAGTTACAACAAGACTTCAATTACGCCCAGAATCAGAACATTATAAGAAATAAACCCTACTATCACTAGGAATTTTTGTGACCCAATAGACCACTGCCTATGCCCTATTAATTATTTCAATTTTTGTCCCATTAGTGGCTTTACCCTTCTGTTACATCTTTTTAATCAAAATTGAATTTAGACTAGTAATTAAGCAGGTCGACAAGGCTCCGGCGTTCTTAACTACATCGAACTACCTTGAATTTGTTTGTGACAAAAAGACAAGGCTTGGATAATCAATTTTTCTGTGGTCTTTCTCAGCAACTTAAAGTTCTTTACAACTAAAGTTTATATAAATGTGAAAATATGGAAAAAGTGATGACGAAGAACAAATGATACTTCATTACTTACTACCAAAGCAGGAAAGTTGTAGTTCTACGAAAAATGTAACTAAAGCAGTAAACTAAAACTAAGTAAACAATAAAATGTGGCAAAGGGAGAAGAGAGATCTCAACTCTCCTGGCCATTCCTATTGAGAACTCCCTTACAGGGTTGGAGCTCTCTGGAGGTAAGAAGACAGCTAAAAAGCGTGTGTATAGAGTGCTTGTATACTCCTCTCGAAGTATCTTCTACAAATGGATATCTGGCTCTATTTATAGATAATGGGAGTAGCAGTTGCAAGCAATTGAGAAGTGGTTCCAACCGCTGGGCAGTTAGGCAGTTGGTGGCAGTTATACCGTTGGGCAGTTGCTGGCCGTAACTCCCAGGGTGCTCGCTTCGCTTGCTTCGGCTTGTAAGGGCACAGATCTCCCTTGCTCACCCAGATGGTTGGAGGGCATCAGTGCAGCTGAGCGGAGTCGTCAATGCTGGTTGGTAATGGAATTGTTATACGGCTGCGGATTGAACACTTAGACGTTATTTGCAACCAGTTGTCGTCGCTCCGCTAAGGTGGGTGTTTGGGTCGCTGGCCTGAGCGATGGAGTCGTCGCTTGTGAGCGGAAACGGCTATCGTTTATCTCATCTGCCTTAGCTTTTCTGGACCCGCATCACCGCTTAAAAGGGCAAATATTGTTAATAATCTCAACAAACCAATTCTAGATCATGCCAAGCGGGATATATCAATAAAGTATGTCATAAATCATATATTGTGATAGTTTTTATACATAAATTCAAGTAATACAAATTTTTGTTGAGCGGAGAATATGCTCATATATGGAGTCATCAGCAGGCCTTCTTCAGGCAGCCTCTAACTGACGGATTTGGAAAGACCTTCAGGTCAGTCCCATCAGCCCTATATTGGCAGTCGAATTCTTCATTCACCGAAGCTACTTTCAGCACCTCAACTCCCGTTTCGGGCTTCCAAGGAAACGCAACGGCCAGAAAAAGGACTTTTAACGTGTGAGGGGCATGGCCGACATCAGTTCCAACACCTTCCCTCGCCCTAACACCTCTTGGAACGATATGAGTATCAGGGGGAGCTATCCCCATGACATTCCAATACACTGGAGGGCAAGGAGCTGCTATGAAAGGTCAATTCTCAGGTAGTTCTGCGTTACAACAGCCCTACGAATATTCTGCTCAACCAACCATCGGAAATCAACCATTGCAGCAGGCCCTAGTGTTCAGAGAAGCTACGGAGGGCCCTCGAACTCGTTTCCCACAATAGGGACCTGCTCATCAGGTTTTCCCGCATTCGGCAGGGTGCAATCCGCCGCCCACTCAGGCAACTTCCGTACATCCTAAGAGGATGGCAGAAGTGCCGCCACCACCGCCTCCTCTTTTAAATCCCCAAGCGATCGAAGATGCAATTCGGAGGATTTATGGTGACCCTATCAGCT